TGCAGGTGATGGGGAGGAAGGCAGCAAATCACACTGCCATGTGTGTTCCTATGCAACAATTTTGCATGTTCTTCACATGTACCCCAAAACCTAAAATACAATAAAATAAATAAATGGGGGAAAAAAAAAAACATTGCAACTTATTACCATTATATTTCTATGAACACCAAAAGCAAATACACCTTCAACACTCCTGGTAAAACTGGCCATCCTAATTTTTTCTCATTGAAATAACTTTTTTGAATTCTCTCTTCTCAAACCTTTGTCTTTCCCAAGTTGTTTCCCTCAGCAGATGTTCTCACCTGCTTCATGAAGAAAATAAAAGTCATCAGAAAAGAGCTCCTTCTATTTCTTGCTATCACAAACTTCAATTCAGCTACTTCCAAACCCAGGATTTCCTTAGTATCTCCTGTTAAAGCCTATCCTCTTTCTTCCCCTTTCTTCCTTTCTTGGGAGCCTGTTTCCTCTTACATTTTATGAATATCTGCAGTATCAATTATCCCTCATCGTGGAAAAAATACCGTGTGAAATGGGTTGAAGTATGTGGGTTGAAGTGTTGACAATTTGGAGATAGCAAACATAGGCAACTTTTGGCTCTCACATGGAACACAAAGAGACTATGAGGAAAGCATGTTTGCTTCTTAACCACTTCAACAGCGACTTATATCACTTCTGTTTATATTTCTTGTCAAAAACATCATGCATGGGGTTGGAATTTCTTAATAAAAGAATTATATTATGGAAAGATAAAGTGAAAAATGTTGGTGGGCAGCTGGCTGGCCATTTCTCCCATGTCATATATCTAGTCATTTTCAAAAGACTTTGAAAATCACATTTGATACCCCCTCACCCTTATCTCTCACATCAAATTTTTTGCTATTTCCCTCGGTTTTACCTCTTACACATACACTCATATACTCCCAATCTTGATTTTTGACCTAGGTAATGTGCCTTTCCATGAGCGATATTTCAGTAGACTCCTAAACAGTCTTGCCATATTCACTATGTTGGCCCCAGTCCATTTACCATTTACAACCAGAGGGATCTTTAAAAAATGCAAATCTTTACTCTGTTTCTTCTCATTGATCTGACTTTTACAGTCTAACACTGACTTTCTCAAAACTTTTGTTGGCTATTGGGATAAAACTCAAAATGCATAACATCATCTATAAGAATTTGCATGATCTGCACCTGGTCTACTTTTACAGTCTCACCTCTTTCATTCTCTCATCCTATGTTATAGGTACACTAAACTTTTTTTCCCAATTCCTTGGGCAAATGATGCTGAAAAAGTCTCTACTCCTTTTACTTAATGAACTACTTCCCCAACAGATCACACTTCAAGTTCCCAGAGTTGAGGTCGGGGGGCATCTTCAAAACTTCTGATCAACTAAAACCTTTCAGATTTGAACTTTGATTGTACCACATAACTTTCCTTCAATTTTTAATATCTTAGTTTTAGGTTAAATATATCTTCATTCAATTTTTCTGTTAAGGCTTGTCTCCCCACACTAAACCTAAGCTTCATATGGACAAGAACTGTCATTGTATTTGTTCACCCTTTGTAACATCAATGCCTAGAAAAATGCCTAACATATAGAGAGGTGCTAAAAATTATTGCTGACAAGTTATAACTAGTCTTAGTTTCAACAAAAATTTCATTTTATGCCACAAATGAGGGCCTAATTTGGTTTATCATTTCTCCATTGACAGTATAGTTTGAGTATCGAATGTATTAAAAAAAAATGAACCACTGGTGGCAATATAGGTTTTAAGATTCATGAAAAAGATTGTAAACTGGCCTCCATTCCATTCAAATATTTTAATTTTGGAGGGATTTGCCTTTTACTCACAAAAATTAATTCATTAATTTATTTACCCATTTGAAATGTATTTAGCCCTCACTCATTGTAAAACATCTTGCCAAGCATTGAATTAAATTTGTCTATGCTTTCCAGATGGAGTATCTCTGGTGCTTTAATTTTGCAAAGAGATTCTACCATCACCTTTGTTACACATGTCACAGGGCCTGCCTTAAACCAGTACATTAAATGTTCATTGCATGCTTGCCTCACAGAAGCCTAGATAAACATTTGGAATTGCAATGGTGTCATTATCTTTGATTCGTGATTAAACTAACTAATACCCCTCCATGCCTGCCCTTTATTTTAAACAACAGGAAAAGAAGAAGTAGATGTTGATTATTAGGCACTAATGTAGAGCATTCATGCATAATTATAATTCTACTCATGAATATGAACAGGTTAGACGTCATTTGTTATTCTCAACAGTGTGGAATGTACCTCAACCAGTGCTACACTCATTTAGGATTAGAAAACAGACTGGGATAAGGAAAGCTATTCTGGGGAAAATACTGGGTAAGAGCCAAGCACTCTTGCTTGTGCTTCATGTGAAAGTGGTCCCTAGGTCTTTCATCACACAAATTGAAGCTGGTTATTTAAGATTCCAACAGAGGAGCTATAGAAATTGTTAGTAGCAGCTTGGAATAATGCTGATGTTTGGATTATAAAGCAGTGACATTTGGAAGCAACACAATTCAGTTGGAAAGGTTCTGGTTTCAGGTAGCCCTGAGTTTAAATTCTGCTTCTGCTGCTTTCTAGCTGTGTTAACTTAGATAGATAATTACCCTCTTTGAGTTTTAACATCTTTAACTACAAAGAAGTAATAAGTGTCATTTCTTATAATGTTTATCTAAGTTAAAATAATAAATATGTACTTTTAAAATACTAGTAAGTAGACAGGTTGTGTTTTTGAAATAAAATTGAAATCAATCACATTGATGACATTTTCCCTTTTCAGTCCATCTAGTAAAGTATTTAAAAAATATATAGGTCATTTAAAAACTTCACTTTGCTGAAATTATTTTAGTTATCTCTAAGTCAACTGGCTAAATTTTACCTGTTATCTGAATGGTAATACATTCTGGTCTCTTATCTTCCATAAGAACCAAATTATTCCCTCTTGTTTATAGATTATGTACGTATTAAGCTCATATCACTCTTCCTGAGAAACACTGATCACCCAATTAATTACCTAGTGAAGTATAACACCTTCCTTTGCTCCATTTGCCATTTTCCCACCCACACCTATAACAAGTGACAATACAGGACAGAAACAATACAGGACAGTTAAATTTGAATTTTGGGTAAGAAATGTATTTTTTTTACTATAAGTATATCCCAAATTTTGCACAGGATATACATATACTTATTTGCAATATCTCTCAAGTCCCACCTAACACAAAATGGAGCAGTCAGATTTTCTTATGAAATTAGGACATAAAGCCTCATGACACAAGTTTACCTTTGTAACAAAACTTCACTTTTACCCCTGAACTTAAAAGTTAAAACAAACAAACAAAAAACAACTCTAGTTAGTCCACAATGAATGTTGGAACTGGTGGATCACATAGATCAGCCTTTGTTCAATCAGATATAGAGAAAGCTGGTCTGCAAACAGAAAGAATGACACAGACTTCGGAGGTGTAGAAATGAGAGACCACGTGGCCACAGAGAGATGGTGAGAGTAACCCCAGTTTGTAACCTACTATTTTCTTGATTCCCTTCATTCTGAATACAGACTATACGTTTTCTACTATTGCTTTTTATGTAATCCCTCTGTATACAATAATTTTTTTTGGTTAAGCTAGTGTGAATATAATTTTGGGTCTTGCAAGAATGTTTCTGTCACGAAAGCATCAGTTTTCACTCACCAACTATACTTTACTTCTCCACATCCATTATGGTTCTGAAGACCCAATATCAGAAACTGTTTATAATTGAGAATACAAGATTGTTCACCTGTAGTTTCATTCACTTACCTGTGTATAGCAAATAGAATGGAAATTATGATTGTTCAGAATTAATGAAATCCTACATATTCCAAATTTAAATGTTTTGGAGTTTGAGAAAAAAAAAAAAAAAAAAAAAAAAAAACATTATTTGGGGAGAATTGACATCAGGTTTTCTTTATAAAGCATTTGATGATAGGGTTACGATTTTTCCTGAGTTTTATTATCAGATAAATGTATTTAAATATCAGTGAGAAACTCAGTAGATTTCAGCCAAACTAGCCTTTCAGTTTTTTGGCAAATTGCTTTTGAGTTCAGTTCAGTTCCTAGATCTTTCCTACTTTGGGTCTTTATAATGGCTGCTCTGCCTTGTGTTGGATCTTTCTAAGAAATGATGATCAAATCTGAAACTTTACCTGTTGCTAGTTTAAGCAATAGTTATTGTCCATTCTCTTCTGTATTTTCTTCCCCATATTGCATTGTATTTTGCTCTAATTGTTTCCCTATTTCAAGAAATTGAGATTTGTACTTATATCAATATAGAGAATATTCATAAGATAGAAAGATCTATTGTGACTTGTTGTATTTTTTATTTTGAATACAAATCTAAACATTTGTTAAGTGCAGATAGATTGAGTAGGAATAAGGGATGATGTAGAAAAGTAAATTGAAATGCCAATGATAACATTATCTTTTATTTTATTTATGTATTCACTTTAAACATGTTACTTTGAATACTTTAAATAATTTAAATATATTATTTGCTAGGCATATACTTTTTTGTTAAAAGTTAAAAAGTCACACATAAGAAACTTTCTGTGTTAAAACAGCAGATGGTCTAGTAATGCAAACAAGCAAGTAAATGCATAATTTAGGGTTGGCTAAGAAAGGAATGATGGAAAATGTAATTCTTCAGCTGCATATACAAATGAAAAGAGTAAGCAGATAAGGAAGGGAATAAGAAAGCATCTTCCAAGCAGAGAAAGCAGTGGTTTCAAATTCTTGGAAGTATGAGAGAATATTGAAGAGTTTAGAAACTTAAAATAGGTTGATATACTAAGATGAAAATATTCATTGATTTATTCATTCAACAACATATCTTAGGAGAGAGGGAAGAAGGCCATAGTGGAAGCAGAAGTCCAGATCCAAAGCAGCTTTATGTACCATGATAAGAAGTTTGAAATATGTTATTTAGGGAAAAGATTTTTAGTAGGAGAGCTATGATCAGAGTTACATTCAGATAGGGTCACTCAGGTAGCGGATGAGTTTTTAAGAAGGAAGAGACCTCTTGTAGGGAATATGTTTCAGTGAAACAGGCAAATGTAATGTCTGCCTAAAATAAAACAGTGATGAGAGTTAGCAGTTTTGCGTATGCGGAAGGGTAGATTTGAGTATTTAGGAAACAGAATGAAGTCTTAGTGATTTATTCTTAGCAGCTGAAAAGAGGGAGAATAGAAAAAATGCAGTCTTTCATGACTCCCAAAGTTCTGACTTAGATGGCTAGATGGGTGTTGAGGCACCTAACTTTCTCTCTCTCTTTCTCTGCTTCTCACTCTCTGTCTCTTTTTTTCCTCTCTAATGAAAGAGATCATAACTCTGGGGTACTGTATAAGTACTTTTTAGATAATGTATAATCAGTTTATCATCTAAAAATTATAAAGGACCGGCTATTAACTATGCTCTTAGTTTATCCTTTTTGTCCCCTTCTCTCTGTTTTTCTTTATTTCTTATAAATTTTCCAACCTCCCTTACTTCTTTTCTTTTTTCTTTCCCTTCTGTAGACAATATTATCAAGCTGTTTACGTCATCCACTCTTCCAAACAACGGCTGATTTGAATAATTTGAGAGAACTAATATTATATGTGCCTGTAAAACCCAAAAAATTATGAGAGTCTCATGGAAAACTGTTAGCTGATTCAGTGTGATCTCCTTTCCTTTCTTGTTCCATGTAAAGAAGACAGCATATGCTTCAGTGAAGTACAGAGAAAAGAGGAGAGAAGAGAAATATTCACATTCTCGGTTTAATGAGAATGAACCTTTTGCTTCCCCAGCATCTCTGAGGATGGATCCCACCTCACTAATTTAAAGCTGAGACAAGGTCATGATAGTAGTAAAAAATATCACTGTGCCTTACTGACATGAAATTACCCTTTAAAGGAATATGTTCAAAATACTTAAAATCTTCTAATTCTGAAAGAGTAGATCGTAGAAACTTGAACTCACTTTCCCTTCTTTTCTCCTTGTTCAGGGCCCCTAGCTATTGTGTAAAAACTGTATCACATTCAAAAGTCTCTTTTAACTATAAAAAGAATACCCTAGAGAATCTTCTCTCAAAATATTTCTTCCAGCTGTCTCCGGGGCTTCATGAAATCAAAGGTAACTTTTAGCTCATGAGTGGACAAACAAAACTTTGAAATTCATATGTCCTTTTCCAGTGGGTTGGTTAGGGGAAATTTATGATTTTCCTGCCCTTGGGATAATCCTGGCCCTGAAAACACTCTGTATCATAGTGGAGAAGATAAAGAAAGAAAAGAATAGTGAAAGGGATCCACAGGTTGTTAATATCCTTTGTAGGCCATGCCCTCTTGTGCTTGCACTTTTAAAAACATCCCGTCATGAAATCTTTATGCTTACACTGCCATGTAGGTCATACTAGCTCTAGTTTAAAATGGAGTAATCTGAGTGTTTCAGAGTCAAATTTACTCATCAATGGTTAACTCAGCTTGTTAGTGACAGGGCCAAACTTCAAAGCTAGCTGTGGATGGTTCTGAAATGTGTTGACTTCCCATGTTTCTGTGCTGAGCAGTTCCTATATAAAGAAAACATAATCTCAAGTAAGTGGACCTGTGATACTCATAGCAAACCTCATTTGAAGAAACTACTGAAAATAGGGGGAAAAACATGCAAAAAATATGTTTTTCTATTTAGCTCATAAGACAATATTTTGGGGGAAAACTTAAGTTGTTAACAACCAAGCAAAGGCTTCTTGAACAGCAAAAATTACAAACTTCTTTATTTTCTTTTGTCAAAAATCTTTATAACTTTGGTGTTAGAGGATTTAAGAATGTTCTGGAATTAAATAATTCAGACTAGAAGATTTGACTTTCCCTGTGGCCAGCAGCTAAATATTTTTACTCCTGTAGAAAGCTAATTACTGTAAAAACCATTGAAAATGAATCAGTGATGTGCTGATAAATGTTTAACAATAAACTCTATAGGGGAAATTTAAAAAAAAAGAGCACCCTGATTTGTAGCACTTACCCATTCCATGGTTAAAATAGGGTCACCATGGCTAAGTTCAAGCTAACAACATACTATTAATAAACATAGAGATGCAAAGGGATGCATTATTTATATATTACTTCCATGTAAATAATCAAAAGAGTATAGCTACCAAGATGCCATAAATACATAGGAGGTGATAAATTCTGAGTATTTATTAACTTTGTTTTTAATGCAATTTTTGTGTTATATAATTTAATTTTTAATAATGGCCATGCTTACAAACTTGCTTTCAAAACTTCTGAAAACTTAACAATTGGCTCACACAAGCTGGCACAAAACTTCTCCGGCATCCTGCTCTGATGCCTTCATTTTACTCTTGGCTTCTCTGAGTTCATTTCCTCTCAGTTTTTTTACATCAGTGCTACATGTTGACTTGTCTGCTTTGAGTATATCAAGATTGATTTGGACAGTGTCCCACTCTTTCATTGTCCTGAGTGATAGGTAAGTTTGAAAATTTTCTAATAGACTAACTATACTAAAGACATTTACATGTTTACGTTCATAAGAATAATTCCTTAATTAAAATTAATGGAAGGCTAGTGATAGAAATTTCAGGGACCATAGAAGAACAGTATATAAATATTTTAGGCTGCTGCCAATTTCTTAGTGACCTGAAAACTACAGTGACCACTTGGTTACCAAGGAATACTACAAGTCCTGAATCCAGATATCCTAATGCTATTGTCATACAATAGTCATGTTATCCAATTTTTCTTCTGACATAAAACCAAATCTGAATTTACACTAGACCAAACTCAATACTTATGATAATCTTTCTGGGATTTCTTAAAAAGCAGTATTTTAATAGATAGATTATTGCTTTGATTGAACTGATATACCAAAAATGTCATCAAGGCTTTAAACATATAAAAGGACTAATC